AGTTAAAAGAGGGTGTCCATAAAGGCTTCTTCAAACAACCTAGTTTAGAGCATCCTCTTGAAGGCAGGGATAGAAGGGGCCTGGCACAGCTCTACTGGGATCCCATTCCATAGAGATGGTGCCACAACTGAAAAGGCCCCGTTTCTAGTAGATATCTTTCAGACCTCTCTCAGAGTAGCAACCCATAGGAACATTGCCTGTGAGGGTCAGGTGACATGGGCTGATGTTCTTCAGGAAAGGCTTTCTGATAAGGTTGTTGTCTCTTCTCCAAGGAGTTGACAGCAAGCCACATCCTGAGAGACAGCGTAACCCCAGCCCAAAATACAAAAGCTGAAGCAGAATGGGTGGGCTGTGCCATCTGACACCAGCCCAGCCAAACAACCCCCCAAAAAAGTAGCAAAGCCAAGGAGAAGCTGGGGAGAATCTAAGATAGGCCAGATCCAAAGCACAAAATAAAGCTGAGGGCCAGGTAGTCTGAAGCAATTCCCACCACCCCATGGAGGTTTCACTAGAGATTCAACTAGCTTCAGGTCAGCTCAGCCAACTTTCAACCCCTTGGGCTAGTTAAGCTTGTTCTGTTCTCTTCCATTTTGTTTAGAATTTGCAAAATAAGGAAATCAGAGAATTGCACATAAAGTTTGTCAAATGGGTGATCACAGCACCCGTTTTACCCTGTACAGCCAAAGCCTCACCCTCTTGCTTCAGAGGCTCTACCCAAAGGCAGTTTTTAAGCAACCCGCACAAGGATATAAAGAACAAAGCCCAAAGGCCTGTCCCAGAGGCCATAAACTAAGAATTTGCATCATCTTCAGTGAGGCCAGGAATGTAAAAAAAAAAATAAAAAATGGTAATTTCTGTTCCTCCAGATTATTCATTATTATGCACTTTCATTTCCTCTCCCTCTATTGTCCCGAATCTTTTGCCCATTCAATTTTTATTTCATCTAATTATTTGTTTAAATACCCCACCTTTCTCCTTAAAAAAGCTTTTCTCAAATTCAAGCTTTTCTCTGAAGGCTCTGGAGTAAAACCTTAGACCAGAATCCTGTTGGACTCACTGAGAACATTCCAACGAAAGGCATATGCCGTAAATCAGAATTTTCAGGGTTCTTCAGGGAGACAACATTCAGAAGTGGTTTCCCATTCAAATCAAATCAAATAAATTTTTTGTCATTGTAAGTATATCCAAACAATGAAATTCACACAGACACCCAGAGACCAGACCCACATGCACACACATAAAAAAATCCCCAAACACTCCCCACCCACTAAAAATCCCCTACTAAGAATACAAACATCTGCACCGCAGGCTAAGTAACACTGTCCAACTATTTACTACTGGTGGTCTTTAAGCTCATTATTATGTGCAATTATAGCTATGGGACAAAAACTGTTCAGAAAACGTGTGGTCTGAGTCTTAATTGTTCTATATCTTCTGCCAGACGGCAACAGTTCACAAAAGTTGTAAGCAGGATGGGGAAAGTCTCTCAAGATGTTGTGCGACTTCCTCAGACAGCGGGATTTGTGAAGGGTTGATAGCTGGAGCCCGATTATATTCTGGGCAATTTTAATGATTCTCTATAGAGCTTTTTTGTCCGCTACTCCCAAGCCATACCAGAATGCTATAAGTTCGTCGTCATTGTTTAGTCGTTTAGTCGTGTCCGACTCTCCGAGACCCCATGGACCAGAGCACGCCAGGCCCTCCTGTCTTCCACTGCCTCCCGGAGTTGTTTCAAATTCATTCTGGTAGCTTCGATGACATTGTCCAACCATCTCGTCCTCTGTCGTCCCCTTCTCCTCTTGCCCTCACAAATTCCCAACATCAGGGTCTTTTCCAAGGATTCTTCTCTTCTCATGAGATGGCCAAAGTACTGGAGCCTCAGCTTCAGGATCTGTCCTTCCAGTGAGCACTCAGGGTTGATTTCCTTTAGAATGGATAGGTTTGTTCTCCTTGCAGTCCAGGGGACTCCCAAGAGTCTCCTCCAGCACCACAATTCAAAGGCATCAATTCTTCGGTGGTCAGCTTTCTTTATGGTCCAGCTCTCACTTCCGTACATCACTACAGGAAAAACCGTAGCTTTGACTATGCCGACTTTCGTTGGCAAGGTGATGTCTCTGCTTTTTAGGATGCTGTCAAGGTTCCTAAAAAGCAGAGACATCACCTTGCCACCTTGATGTATTTACTTTGATTTTCAGACTGTTATTATGTTGTGAATTGATTTAACATGTTATTTGTTGTTTTTCTATCATGTTGTGAACCACCCAGTGTGGCCTTGTAGCCAGGTGGGCAGTATAAATTAGGACACTCTCAATGGTGCTACGATAGTATGACAGAAGTAAATGCTGAGATAAATTTAACTTGCCGAGTATTCTCAGGAAATACAGCCTCTTCTGTGCCTTCTTCACTAGCATGTTGGCATTTATAGTCCCTGAGAGGTCCTCTGAGATGTAAGTGCCCAGAAATTTAAAACTACCAACTCTCTCCACTTCCTCGCCATTTATGTACAGTGGTAAATGTATATTTAATGTCCCCTTCCCTTCTCCTGGGGATCCCTGTGCAATTTGCCCAAGGCCACAAAGGCTGGCTCTATTTTACAAGAGGCCCCATGAGGAATTGAACTTGTCACCTCTGGTTCCTCAGTCAGATTCTTAGTTCACTGAGCTCAGCCAACAGCATCTCACCTCACCTTATCAAAACGGAAGAGAAGAGATGCCCCATTACCAGGTTTCAACAGCAACTTCTCAAAACCTCTTCAAATTATGGGTTTTCCTTCCTTCCAGTAACTTAGAGGGATCTATCATGTTCTTCCACCTGTGGAATAATTCCCCCACCTGAAATACAGCTGGCCCCTTCACTGGGAATTTTCAAGAGATTTTTGAAAACTTGGCTGTTAAGACAGGTTTCCCCGGATATCACATTGTCAGAGCGCAGAGCTGCTGTCAACACTTAACGTTATCTGTTCCGCCACCTTGTGTTTATTAATTGTTTTTTGTGTTGTCGTTTGCTTAGTTTTCCTTTTTCTCAGTTTAAGTTGATTGATGTATTTACTTTGATTTTCAGACTGTTATTATGTTGTGAATTGATTTAACATGTTATTTGTTGTTTTTCTATCATGTTGTGAATCACCCAGTGTGGCCATGTAGCCAGGTGGGCGGTATAGAAATTGAACGAATGAACGAACGAACAAAAACCAACCAAGAAACAAATAAATGTTCTAGGAGCCATTTTTGTTCTCCTGAAGACCTTAGAGGGCTCCACACCCATCTTGACCCACCCTGGCATATCAATGACAAAAATCCTGGCCATTCTAAATGGCAAATCGTACTCCCAGAAACTTTAGGGGAGAGAAGAATTTCTCCTTTAAAGGAATTTCAGGGTCTGCTGAGCCTTTAAGGTGAGAAAAATCTTTCCCTGCCTTTAAGCCAGGAAGTAACTAGTCTTCCATTTCTAGTTTCATAAAATCTTATTTGTTCCTTGCTCCTATAGGGTCAGAAGACCAGCACTCGTAAGATCGAACCCACGCAACGGAGTGAGCGCCCGTCGCTTGTCCCAGCTCCCGCCAACCTAGCGGTTTGAAAGCATGCAAATGCGAGTAGATAAATAGGGACCACTTCGGTGGGAAGGTAACAGCGTTCCGTGTCTAAGTGGCACTGGCCATGTGACCACGGAAGATTGTCTTCGGACAAAACGCTGGCTCTACGGCTTGGAAATGGGGATGAGCACCACCCCCTAGAGTCGAACACGACTGGACCAAAATTGTCAAGGGGAACCTTTACCTTTACCTTTACCCTATAGGACTGGGTGGAAAATTATATGAAATGGTAAATCTTGTTCTTTCTGAAGACATGATTTGCCATTAGGAGGCAATACAGGGTTGTTTGTTTGTTTGTTTGTTTGTTTTGGAGGGGCTTGTTATGGGGTCTCCGTGGACCCAGAGGTAACACTGCAGGGGTCAGAAGAAACCCATAAGTTGCATCTCTTCTCACCATAGGTTCTTTGAGCAGGAGGGTCACTCCAGTGTTCAGATACCTTTCCTGGCCCAGTTAGGGGTCACTTCCTCATTCTGTTCCACATCTGATCAGTGACAGACCTCTATTTTTGTGACCCTGAAGGTTGAACTGCTTTGGAAGCCCCTTCGTAACCAGCAATGACATTTGAGTCTTGTTCAATTGGGTTTTTCAATGACAGCTCATCACAATTTTTTTTTAATGTGTACTAAAGTCATTCCTGGGGCCCCTCCGGGATCATTAATTTCATAATAGGTCCGCCCATGCATCTGATGCATCAGAGTGTAAGTTCTTCCTGATTTTGATGTGAATGTTTTATTCTTTGGTCCTGTATAATCTGTGCGACACTTGGCTTTTAATTTTGACACTACTTTTAATTTTGGCACTCCCTAGATCCCCCAAAACTAACTTTCCCAGGCGCTGCTTTTCATCCAGGGGGTTTTAATGGGAAGCAAATTCCATTTCCTTATGTTGAGAATGGATTAATTGGTTTTCAATGCATTCCTATGGGAAATGCTGATTCGAGTTACGAACTTTCCGACTTACGAACGTCCTTCCGGAATGGATTAAGCTCGTAAGTCGAGGGTTGACTGTATTTGCATGACAGTCATATAGTTTAGCACTGAACTAAAGCTGTTTGGGATGACCATATGTGGTCTACCATTGTGATCTAAGGCCTCAGTGATCTACCACTGGGCTACCAATAAGCTCATCCTCTTTTGCACATAATGGTTACTATAGATGATTGAATGTGCCTTTTCTTCACTGTTGAGACATTTGAGTTCTTTGTGCACAGTCATCTCTGCAAACAAAACATCACAAAGATATGATCTTGTGAAATTCCTCAGGAAGGACTTGAGTAATGGTTCAGTTGTACTGGTCTCCAATTAACAACGTGAAAAACAAAAAACCATACCCACATTAGCTCAGGTTTTGCAAAATCTATTTTTAACTGCCCCCCAGAGGCCTTTAAATACAAGCATGTTTCAACCCCTCCTAGTCCCATTCTTCTTTCTTCTCCGGTGGTGGTGAGCTCCAGTTGTATTTTCAGCCATGAAGATATTTTACCTTGTCTTTGCCGTCCTGTGTTTAATGATGCTGGTGGTTCCAGGTAAATCTGCCACTTGGGTAACTGTATAATGTTCGTGGATGCTCTGTGAAATGTGACCAGACAGGAATTACCTTTTGAAGTGAAGTTATCAAGTGATTCTGTTCTGTCAGACATGGGATAAGACTAAGATAAAATGAATGGGAAATGAATCTGCCAGCAAGGCTAGGCTCTGGGACAATTATCTCCTTGAAGAAATGTTTAATATTTGTCTTTGCTGGTGTGAATAATAAGGGATAGTGTTCATAGAATCATGAAGTTGGAAGAGGCCGATAAGCCCATCGAGTCCAACCCTCTGCTCAATGCAAGAATCCAATTTAAAAGGTATCTGCCAGGTGGTTGTCTAAATTTCTCTCGAATGCCTCCAGTGTTGAAGCCCTCACCACCTCTTGAAGTAATTGATATCATCATCGTACTGCTCTAACCGTTAGGAAGTTCTTTCTGACGTGTAACCAAAATCTGGCTTCACTTGCTTGATTGTTATGAAGGGCTGTTTGTGTTCAGAAATCTGAGATGGAAAGCTGCTGATGGTGTCCTAGTCTCTTGTCATAGTCACATCAAAAATTGCTTGAACTTTGGAGAAATTTAAGCCTGGGGCTAGCCCTGCTACTGAAGACTGTACTGTTGAATGCTCATCTCCTGATAGCTTTAATGACTGTCCCCATGTTGGATGTAGGTGTATGTACGGCATCATAGTGTGTATATGGCAGAAGGCTTATAGATTCCTGCCAACTTAGCAGTTCGAAAGCATGTAAAAATGCTAGTAGATAAATAGGTTCCAGCACAGTGGGAAGGTAACAGCATTCCGTGTCTAGGCATGCTGGCCACATGACCACAGAAACTGTCTATGGACAAACGCTGGCTCTATGGCTTGGAAACAGGGATGAGCACTGTGCCTTAGAGTTGGACACGACTGGACTAAATGTCAAGGGGAACCTTTACCTTATAGAATCATTCATATTTCTGAGTACTCCTTTATGTAAGAAACCCCTGAATTGACTTAACCACGCATTTATTGTTGTTGTTGTTGTTCTTGTTGCTATTATTAATCATACTGATGCTGCTGATGATGCTACCACAGAATATGCTGTCAAGCCAATCCTGAGTTTCTAGGACTTAGGACTTCAGGGAGTTACAGCTAAGAAGTATTCAGAAGAGATTTACCAGACTTTCCTTCTGCTGCTCTGGGACAATTTGTGGAGTTCAGATGTGTGTGTTTTGGTCTGCAACTTGTACAAGACCCAAGTTAACATAGCTATCTCAAGAATTTTGGGAACCATGGTCTAAACCTATCAATATATACAGCTTTACCCGGTAGCTAGCCCAAAGCCACACAGGTGACAGAGCATGTAACCCCATCCAAGGTGTCTCACACACAGTCTAGGTGACCTTGGCAGACAATTCTTCTAGGAGGCCCAGATAAACCACCTGCCTTTGGCTCCAGCTCACCAATCCAATGACCTAGTAAAGGATGCAAGGTAATCCATTTTTGCACTGCTTGTCACTGTGCTAAAGCAGGAGTATAGACATGCGGTTTTCCAGATGGTGTTGAAGCACAGCACCTTAGTGAGCATGACTGAGGTGTTGAGATCCTCAGGAGAGGCCTGTCCCTCAGTCCGACCACCTTTGTAGGTGCATTTGGTGGGGACAATGCAGAGGGCATTGGAGGCCTCCCATTGGAGGCCAATCTGGCCCCATCTTTGCTGTCCTTCTGCAAGCAGGCAAAGGCCTTTCTCTTCAGACAGGTTTTCCCTTAGTGACTAGCTGCCTGAGTAGCTTTTTTTAATGGATTGTTGTCCCTTACTGCTTTGAATGTTTTGGTGTTGCTTACATTTTAGTATGGTATGTATTTGATCCTTTTTGTATACCCATTGGTGTTAGTTTTTATATTGTCTTTTAGTGATATATGCCACCTTGGGTCCTTTTAAGGAGAAAGGTGGGGTAAAAATATTTTGCAAATAAACAAACAGCCAGATGAATGGACAGACAAACGAATGAACAAACAAATGAACAAAAACAAACATTGATTAGGCAACCTTCAGTCTCGAGAGACTATGGTAACATGCTCTGTATGGAGGACCTGGAAGAGTGTCTAGTGTGGCTGAGAAGGCCAATTCAAGAGTGACAATCCCTTCCACACTGAAGAAAAATACAATCTGTCCCCTGTCCAGCTCCCTGGTTTTTCTTGTTTCGGGACTGCCTCTTTGCCTCGGCCTGCTGGACAAGGGTCTCTTCAAATTGGGAGAGGCCATGATGCACCACCTGCCTCCAGGCTGAACGCTCAGATGTCCATCTTTCCCATCTGTTGAGATCCATTCCTGAGGCCTTCAGATCCCTTCAGAAGAAAAACAGACAAACAAACAAACATACCAAGCCAGGCAGTAGTCCTTGTGTGTGGAGGAGGAGGGGGGTTCTTTTAGGACCAGAAATCCCCCAATCTTATTTATAAGGAATTTTTTAAAAAGAGGCTGTTCAATTTACACGAAAGCCTCCAAGGTGAGTAGACGTGTTCTAATGTAACCTCCTTTTCTGTGTGCATAGGTTTCTCTCAAATATATGGCAGCAAAAAGTGCCGAGAGTCCAAGGGGAAATGTTACAAGCGCAGGTGTCCGGGCGGTTACAAGTACATCGGAAAGTGTGGACAGAAGGTTCCATGCTGCTGGTAAGAATTCCCACGTTCCCAAACTTAATAAGCAAACAACAACAACAACAACAAAACCCAATACAAAACAAAACAGTAGTTAGCAAACAGGTGGGCAGGTGGGAAAAAAAATCCACATATGAGAAGTTCATGAGAATTTTAATTTTTTATTTTTTAAAATTCATTTTCAATAGGAATAGGATTTGCAATAGGGGGATAAGGGGCAGGGGGGAATAGGTGTGGATAGGGAAAGGGTAAAATTCCAAAGAGTGAAAGAGTATTCTTACAGCCACTTACACAATTATGCTAAAGAGGGAAATCACATTGGCTAAACAATTTAGCAAAATTTACCAGCATTTCTGAAGTTACTCATCTCTCCATTATTACCTTGGGCCTTCACCCTCTTCCTTTATCAATACTTTTCAATTCACGTTTCGAGCCCAGTAATAAAATCATTCCGTTTTGGAGTCCTTTCTGAGATGACCTTTCACTGAACGCTTCTGTCTGTACATCCATCTCTGCCACTTCCAGTATCTTTTCTATCAACTCTTCAAGAGACGGTGCTTCTTCTGTCTTCCAGTTTTTCCCATACAGTATCCCCGTTGCAGTAATTACATGGATTATAAAATATTCCATTTCTTTATCTACAAACTCCACCACTTCCAGTATCTTTTCTATCAACTCTTCATGATACCGTATTTCTTCTTTCTTCCAATGTTTCTCATATAGTATATTTGCTGCAGTAATTACATGTATTATCAAATATCTCATTTCTTTATCTACAATTTCAGGCATAATTTTCAATAAAAACAGTTCCAGTTTAAATGGTATCACACAATATTCAGTTTTTTGTAACATTTCATATACTGATCTCCAATAATTTTTTGCTTCCCTACATATCTACCAGATATGATAAAAAGTACCCTCCTGTATTTTACATTTCCAACATTTTCTAGAGATATTTTCATACATTTTAGACAGTTTAGCTGGAGTCATATGCCATCTATAAAACATTTTACATACAGTGGTGCCTTGCAAGACGAACGCCTTGCAGGACGAAAAACCCAGAAGACGAATGGTTTTTGCGATTGCTGTAGTGCCCCAACCTTCAAGAAGTTAAGTTTTATTTGGGTGTGTGTATATATTTAATTTTCTTTCATTTTCACAGGGCTTGTATTATGGTCCTTTTGTTTAACCTAAAAGGAATTACTTCTTTAGGGATATTTTGTTTCTTCATTTGGGTTTCCTGGTGCTAACCTAAATTAAGCCCTATTGAATCCTTAAAAACTCATCCAAAACAGCAGAGAGGCAAGTCAACGGAGAATCAATCTACTTCAAAAGCAAGCAACAGTGCATGAGAAAGGAAAAAGAATCATAGTCAGATCTATCTAGGAACTAGTTTCTATTATCATGCTCACTTGGTGCACTGTCCAGACAAAACAGTCTATGCCTCAAACCACCAAAATACACTTTTTTAACAGAATACATGCACAGCAAATTAACCAAATCCTTTTTTTAAAAAAATAATCAAGTAGGGAAGGCATCCCCACACACAAACAGGGAGAAAATAGCAAAATGAAACACATACAGCCTCCTTTCCCAAAAACCAAGAAGAGCAAATGAGCAAATAAAGGCAAAAAATACAATACATCCCCCCCAACCAAAACTACTACAATATGCAGAGATTCTTCTTCCATCTTGATACCTTCTTCTCATGTTCAGCAGACAATAGGAAAAATAACCAAAGGAAATGGGAGGGGGATCCCCCCAAAAATCAATTTTAAAAAAAAAGGGGGGGAGAAGCCCCTTGCAACACTGTTGGAAGAAACAAATTTCCTAGGCCATTTGACAGCATCCTGGCACCTTGTCAATTAGCCACAGGAAGTTATGTGGGCTTTATGTGAAGCCTTGTGGCACAGTGGTTAAACCGCTGTACTGCAGCCAAAACTGTGCTCACGATCTGGGGTTCAATCCTAGGTAGCGGCTCAAGGTTGACTCAGCCTTCTATCCTTCAGAGGTTGGTAAAATGAGTACCCAGCTCGCTTGGGGGGGGCAATGTGTAGACTGCATAATTAACTTGTAAACCGCCCAGAGAGTGCTTGAAGCACTATGGGGCGGTATATAAGCAGCACTTTTTGCTTTTTGTTTAGAGTCTTGTAATGCCTTCACTTTAATCCTTGATTTTTTTCCTTGCCAAATAAATTTCATTATTTTTCTATTAAAGTCCTGAAGAAGTGTTTGCTTTAACATCACTGATATTGTCTGAAAAAGAAAGATCAGTTTGGCTAGCACATTCATTTTGATTACCACTATCCTTCCCATCAGTGAAGGTTGTAGCTTATCCCACTTTTCCAAATCTCTCTGTTATCTCCTTAAAAAGTTTCATATAATTTTCTTTATTAGTGTGTTTGTCTTATTTGTCATTTGATTTCCCAAATATTTAACTCATTTTTCCTCTTGGAAGCCTCTATCAATTTGTGAATCCCCCCGTTTGAATATTTTTGCCTAAATTTTTTGTTTTCTGACGATTCTCTTTCATTCCTGCCATTTCCCCAAAGTTTACTAGTGTTTCCATCAGTTCATCAATAGATTTTACTGGGTTCTTCCAAAATAGAAACTACATGCAGATTTTTCACACATGGGTTCTGGTCACAATTCCTGCGCTCTATTATGCCTAGCTGTCATCTATGTCTCTCTGTGTGTATCTGGGCATCTCACTGTGTTCTTTATTTTTGCAGGAAACGATGATCAACCAGAGCACAACCATATCAGTCAATGGGCTATTTGAAATTCCTTGGATCTGTGGCTGTGAAATTCAGATGGACCACACTTCTAGAGCTTTCAGCCGTGGGAAGATGTGTAGATGCCCTCTGCCTAAATAAAAGCAAATTTTGACATAACCTTGTGTCTAAATAAGAAGTGTTTATATCCAGTAATAGGACAGATGTAGATTTAGAATTTTGCCTTTAAAAAAAAAATCTCATTAAAACCAGAGAAGCCTCTGCAAGATGCTTGAGCTGGTAGAACTCAATGGGTTCGAGCTATGGAGCCAGGGGTGGGAATCCAGATCCTTGCTGTGGCCTCTGAGGAGAGAACTGCATGAGATAACCTAGAGCACATGGGGCTGATGTCATTAACTTGATTAACCTAGGGTTGGGGATTCATACCCTTCCAGTAGCAAATATCAATGTGTCAGTTAATCCTCTTCCAGTAGGAAATGTATCATCTCAATTTTGGTACCAGAAATTACTTTCGCTCCATAAGACGCACCTTTCCATAAGATGCACTAATTTTTTAGGAGAAGAAAACAGGAAAATATAATCGGTTTTCTTCGCTCCATAAGACGCACAGACTTTCCACCCCCCTGTTTTGTGGGAAAAAAGTGCATCTTATGGTGCGAAAAATACGGTAAATCCTCAATTATCCTGCCATAGGTTACACTTATGGGTTTTGTTATACAGTAGGACCCCCTTTCTGTGGGATCCGTAGCTGCAGATTCACTTATCTAACGACTGAAAAGACTAAATAAAAGAAACCAGAAATATGTATCCATACGTATTTCCAGGGTATACTTACCAGAACTGGTCACTAGAAGGAACCAGAGGCCATGCAATGTGTTGTGTTTGATCCTTTGGCATTTTTCAGCATTCACAAGAGTGGGGGAGTGGAAAATATTTATATATATTTTATTTCCCCTGCCTTCTGCCGAGCAGCTATTAAGTCACTTCATGGTATTAGCTTTGGAATGGTCGGGCTTGATTAGAACAATCAAGCCTGACTATTCCAAAGCAATCCAGGTTAGATCGTTCCTGGGTGTTAATGTCACTGTACCCTAAGCTGGGCATTTTTGGAGAGTAGATGTGGTGGAAATATAAACAGTGGCATGATTCGTTTTCAAGTATCTGACCAATCAAATTTGGCCTCTGGAATTTAATTTATTTTTTGGTCCGACAATAGGTTACTAGTTGGCCAGATAGCTCAGATGCTGGGAGTTCGATTCCCTGCTGTGTCCCCTGAGAGAAGAACCAGCCTGTGTAGCCTTGGGCAAGCTGCACAATGGTCCCAGGGCACCCTCTGGAGGAAGTGAATGGTAAAGCACTTCTGAGTAGCCACTAATTGGGAGACCCTGGGAAGGGTTGCCATAAGTCAGAATTGACTTGATGGCATATGATTACTATTATCATAGGGCTACTACTTTTTAGGGCCAGGTTGGCTGTCCTAACAGACAGAAGGGTCACCTACAAGGAGGTTGCTTCCTGAAAAGCGATACGTTCCAGTGAAATAAGACGTGCACCTTTCCTGCTGTCTGATTCCATCTGTCTGATTCTCATTTTCATTCCCATGGATGGGTATGGATATTCACATCACCAATGAGGATATCCATCTCAATAAGAAGCTGACGGCATAGACCAAGATCCAGGTCTATAGAGCCTGTGTCCTGAGCATACTCCTGTACTGCAGTGAGTCCTGGACACTTTGTGAATGGCAGGAGAGGAAGTTGAACACGTTCCATATGCACTGTCTCCGATGCATTTTTGGTATCACCTGGCAGGACAAAGTTCCAAATAGAATAGTCCTAGAACGAGCTGGAATTTTTAGCATGTATACATTACTGAAACGCTGGCTTGGGCATGTTGTGAGAATGGCTGATGGACGGATTCCAAAAGACTACCTGTATGGAGAATGAGTGCAGGGAAATCACCCCAGAGGGAGACCACAGCTGCGATACAAGGATATCTGCAAGTGGGATCTGAAGGCCTTGGAAGTGGACCTCAACAAATGGGAAACCTTGACATCAGCCTGGAGGCAGGCGGTGCATCATGGCATCATGGCCTCTCCCATTTTGAAGAGACCCTTGTCCAGCAGCAAAACCAGGGAGCTGGACAGGGGACAGATTGTATTTGTCTTCAGTGTGGAAGCCTCTTCAGCCACCCTAGACGCTGTTCCAGGTCCTCCATCCAGAGCACATTACCGTAGTCTCTCGAGACTGAAGGATGCCTAATCTGAGTATCTGTGGCTGTGTGTCTAGACTTTGTTTCTTTGACAGATTGTACATCTCAGGGGCTGTGTTGCAGGGAGATTAAGACAACCTCCTCCACCCACTGCTTTTTCATTTCATGGGTGCGTACAGTTGGTCATTAGCCTGGCAGCAATGCATTTCTTAAGTAAAGAGGAAAGCATACAAATCACTGAGAAGATTGCCTTCCAGGAATGAAAATGCAGAATTTAACATGCTTGAAGGCCAGCATCAGGTGAGGGGAAATCATTCTTCAAGCAGAAACATTATCCGGTGGCTGAGAATCAATGTAAAAAGGGCCAGTCCTACTATTAGGTAAAGCATATGCCCCGCCACCTTGAAAAACACTTTTCTTGCGAGTGTTAGAATAAAATTTAGCTCCTAGACCTGCTGGTATCTGTGTTCTTGATTCAAGGAAAGTCACCAATTTCGTCCTTTGCCTCAGGCAACACAATATCTTGAGCTGGCCCTGATTGTGAGTCATCAACTGAAGATATTTTTTCATGATTCTCTTAGAAAATTAGGAACATCACTTCCATGGAAGAGTGAAGAGAAGGATGAATGTAGTTTCCTGTTTCTTTCTTCCCCTTCAACCATTGATGTTGGATTTCCTGAAAGACCCTACCAAGACCAGTTAGGCCAGATTGTAGTCAATTTATCTCTTAAGTCAAGAGAACAACTATTTCCCGCCCCTGCCAATATAAGAACTGACAGGACATCATAAATCTTCCTTCTGTATAAATTTGTGCTTTGGAATTCAGGACATTGATTTCCCTCTCTTCACCCTGTGGTTTTATTAAGTAAAGAGGATAGCATACAAATCAATGAAGGTATTTCTGACTTGCCGATGAGGAACCGTTGACTTGGCCTGGCATTTGAGAAACAAACTGGCATGGTAGCATGCTTTTACTGGGGCCCAAGAGGTGGACAGGTCAATGTATTTGCGAAGGTGGACAGGTCACTTGTAAACTTGAACTAGGATTCATCTGGAAAGTGAACAGGGAGGGAGAGGCAAGGAATTTCAACGATGCTGCTCAGACAAGTCCCCTACAAATTGTGCAATTTGTTGCAAAAAAAAGGGGGGGGCATGAGAAGAAAAGAGTTTGCTTTTGATAGGAATGGTTGGTGGGAACAGAACTTGGAGAACTTCTCTATTTTGGGGCATGTATGTAGCTCCTGGAATCTTCTAGCCCACCTGCTGATCTAGATATTTTAGGAGCGGTTGTTAGAAACCACAACTTCTTCCACACCCAGTTGACAGCATCATTAAAGTAAGCGAAAATATACCCTTTAATGGTCTTAGGTGGGTTGTGGAGACCTGGAGGCAGTTGGTGAAACTGTAGGATCGAAGACTCAAAAGATGCTGCTTTTTGTAAGGTTCCTTCCCATCAGGCTGGCTCTCCCTATGGGCCAGACAACTTTGGCTCAGGCTTTTTACCCCAGAGTAGGCCATACAAAGGGACGTGGTGGCGCTGAAGGGATGTGGTGGTGCTGTGGGCTAAACCGCAGAAGCCTGTGCTGCAGGGTCAGAAGACCAGCAATTGTAAGATTGAATCCACACAATGGAGTCAGCTCCCGTTGCTTTGTCCCAGCTCCTCGCCAACCTAGCAGTTCAAAAGCATGCAAATGCAAGTACAGTAGATAAATAGGTACCACCTCAGTGGGAAGGTAAAACAGCATTCCCTAGTCACGCTGGCCACGTGGCAATGGAAAACTGTCTTCGGACAAGCACTGGCTCTATGGCTTGAAAACGGGATGGGCACCGCCCCCTAAAGTTGGACACGACTGGACTGAAAATGTCAAGGGGAACCTTTACCTAGGCCATACAACCCACCCATGCATTGCTTTAGTGCCTTGGTGCCTTGGGCACACGTGGTCGTCCTCAAAGATTTGGCACCTTTTCATGTCTTCCGGATTGCTGCCTAGTGGTGGGCATGTTTTTCACTTTCCCTGAGCAGCCCTTGCAAAAGCATTAGTGGCTGTTTTGTCTAAGCATGTTCAGCCTTACGCCAAAGAAGAATGAGGTGAGATAGGGTAACACTTTTTAAATCCCTGACAGGTAGTCATCCAGAGGAGGGGCAGGATCTGTTCTTGATGATCCCAGAGTGCAGGACACATAATAAGAGGCTCAAGACAGATTGAGGGTGAATATCAGGAAAGACTTTCTAACTGTTAGAGCAATATGAAAATGGAACCAATGACTTCAGGAGGTGGTGACTGCTCCAACGCTGGAGGCATTTAAGAGAAATTAAGACAACCACTTGGCAGATGCCCGTTGATTTGGATTCCTGCCTTGAGCAGGGGGTTGGACTTGATGGCCTTATAGACCCTTTCCATCTCTATGATTCTATAATCGGTTTTTCACCTCTCCATTTTTTTAAAAACTTGTTTGTGCTGATACATGTTGGCTGGCGTCTTAATCTCTCATTATTCTATACTATTCCCTTGTTAATACACTGCTTGTATTTGTTGTATCAAGGGGACTGTGGAAAGACAGACGGCTGCTCTTCATAGGGTGGTCATGTGACAATGTGTGATGTCAGTGACAGGTGAATGGTAGTAACACTGGGCACAGAGAAGGCTTTGGATAGGGATTGTCATGGGCTAAGTTCAGGAATTCTGTACGCTTTGGCTCACTTAACCTAAGATGTGGTGGGAAATAAATTCTATATTGGTTGCCCTCCCTATTTGCGTTAAGGTTACACTTATTTTTCAGTAGTCCCAACATACACAATATGGTTTCTTCACAACTTCCCGTTTATTCCTCAAATAGTTTTGCTCTTTTTCTGTATTGTTTCCAAATAATAATTCTGTATTGTTTCCAAATAGAGTAGTCCTAGATTGAGCCGGAATTTCCAGCATGTATACATTATTGAAGCAGTG